GTATATTTAAATTCAGTACTTTCACTTAAATAACAATGAGGATTACCTATTAATTGTAATTTAAGTGAAATTACTGAACTTGAATATATAAGCTTGATAAAAAATGATCATTTTTGAAGAATATTTCCAACGGCACTTAGAGGCTTTTGCATCTGAACTCTTCATATATATATATATATATATATATATATATATATATATAATGTATATAATAGATATATAATGTAAGCGTAATTAAGAAAGATTTCACTGCCAGTTCACACACACACACAAAGTCCCCACTTGGTTGGATAGATATCATTCAGAATGTCCCCTCTTTGCCAGTGTACAGCGACACTGCTGTTAGTAGTATAGAAATATATAGTTTTAGATCGGTAAGATTGTTTATGTTTTTTAAGAAGTCTCTTCTGCTCACCAAGGCTGCAATTATTATTTTTTTAAAAACACAGTAATATTGTGAAATATTATTACAATTTAAAACAGCGTTTTTCTATGTGAATATATTATACACAGTATATATATAAATATATATATAAATATATATATCTATATATCTATATATATATATATATATATATATAATAGATATATAATGTAAGCGTAATTAAGAAAGATTTCACTGCCAGTTCACACACACACACAAAGTCCCCACTTGGTTGGATAGATATCATTCAGAATGTCCCCTCTTTGCCAGTGTACAGCGACACTGCTGTTAGTAGTATAGAAATATATAGTTTTAGATCGTTAAGATTGTTTATGTTTTTAAAAGAAGTCTCTTCTGCTCACCAAGGCTGAAATTATTTGATAAAAAAAACAGAAATATTGTGAAATATTATTACAATTTAAAACAGTGTTTTTCTATGTGAATATATATATATATATATATATATATATATATATATATATATATATATATATATAATAGATATATAATGTAAGCGTAATTAAGAAAGATTTCACTGCCAGTTCACACACACACACAAAGTCCCCACTTGGTTGGATAGATATCGTTCAGAATGTCCCCTCTTCGCCAGTGTACAGCGACACTGCTGTTAGTAGTATAGAAATATATAGTTTTAGATCGGTAAGATTGTTTATGTTTTTTAAGAAGTCTCTTCTGCTCACCAAGGCTGCAATTATTTGATAAAAAACCAGTAATATTGTGAAATATTATTACAATTTAAAACAGCGTTTTTCTATGTGAATATATTATATATATATATATATATATATATATATATATGAAGAGTTCAGATGCAAAAGCCTCTAAGTGCCATTTGAAATTTTATTCTAGAATGATCATTTTTTTCAAGCTTGTATATTTAAATTCAGTACTTTCACTTAAATAACAATGAGGATTACCTATTAATTGTAATTTAAGTGAAATTACTGAACTTGAATATATAAGCTTGATAAAAAATGATCATTTTTGAAGAATATTTCCAACGGCACTTAGAGGCTTCTGCATCTGAACTCTTCATATATATATATATATATATATAATGTATATAATAGATATATAATGTAAGCGTAATTAAGAAAGATTTCACTGCCAGTTCACACACACACACAAAGTCCCCACTTGGTTGGATAGATATCATTCAGAATGTCCCCTCTTTGCCAGTGTACAGCGACACTGCTGTTAGTAGTATAGAAATATATAGTTTTAGATCGGTAAGATTGTTTATGTTTTTAAAAGAAGTCTCTTCTGCTCACGAAGGCTGCAATTATTTGATTAAAAAAACAGTAATATTGTGAAATATTATTACAATTTAAAACAGCGTTTTTCTATGTGAATATTTTATATATATATAATGTATATAATATATATATAATGTAAGCGTAATTAAGAAAGATTTCACTGCCAGTTCACACACACACACAAAGTCCCCACTTGGTTGGATAGATATCATTCAGAATGTCCCCTCTTTGCCAGTGTACAGCGACACTGCTGTTAGTAGTATAGAAATATATAGTTTTAGATCGGTAAGATTGTTTATGTTTTTAAAAGAAGTCTCTTCTGCTCACCAAGGCTGCAATTATTTAAAAAAAAAAACAGTAATATTGTGAAATATTATTACAATTTAAAACAGCGTTTTTCTATGTGAATATATTATATATATATATATATATATATATATATATATAATGTATATAATAGATATATAATGTAAGCGTAATGAAGAAAGATTTCACTGCCAGTTCACACACACACACAAAGTCCCCACTTGGTTGGATAGATATCATTCAGAATGTCCCCTCTTCGCCAGTGTACAGCGACACTGCTGTGTAGCAATATAGACATGTATATGTTTGAGCATTATATAATGACACACCCACACACACACACATATATGTGTATAAGTATGTATAAGTTACAATATGAAGACAAGATTTCACTGCCAGTTCACTTCACTGTTCACACAGACACACAGTTCAATTGCAGGCTATATGAGTCCCCTGTTGGTAAGGTAGACATCGGCCAGAGTTTCAGGTCCCCACTTGGCATGTTTTTTTAAAAATAAAAAAATGCATATTTAAAGTTATATTATGAAAAAAGACCTTAAAAGAGAATTTTGTACGTCATTTTTGTTTCTTCAAAATGACCAGAAACACTAGTCCCCTCTTGGCCAGTGTAGAGTGATAGTCCCCTTTTAGTAATATAGACGTGTATGTGTGTGTGTGTGTGTGTGTGTGTGTGTGTGTGTGTGTGTTCTGGTAATCATCACTTTGTGGGGACAAGAATCTGTTTACACAGTCACGTAATGGGGACCTCTTGCGTTGTGGGGACCAAAAATCAGGTCCCCATAAGGTTAACCCATTTAATTGGATAGAGGAACTATTCTGAAGGTTCTGGGCGGAGTTTTAGCATTGGCCCATAACACATGATTATCAGGTATTGTGCGTGTGTGTAGCGGGAGCTCTGCTGCGCCCCCAAACATTTTTGGCTGGTAATGCACTCACTTCTCCACACACACATTTTCCAATTATGGGTGGGTACCGCCCACTTCCGGGTCCTCGTTAGGAAGGAGTTCGACAGCAACTTGAAAATACAAGTATTAAATTGATAACGTTACTTCACACGGAGAACAAAGAAGAAGATTAACGTTATTTACTGGAGATGCCAACGATCTGAACTTCTGCCGAGGATAAAAGTGAAGCTTAAGGTAAGCACACATAATAAATCAATTAGGTTAATTAGATTAGTCTGCGGGCTAGCTAGTTAGTGCTAATTGTTGAGGCTAACGCAGTTAAGTGTGGCCTTACATGTTTCTCTGTTTTTCCAATTAGCGATCACATAATCATGCAATTTCATGTTAAGGACTTAATTTTAACTGAAAAGTGTTGTGTAGTCTGACTGATTGCTAATGGATTCGGTTTTTAAGGTTGTTTTTGTCTAGTTTGCGCTAGTGCTGGACGGTGGCTTATTTTATATTTTAAATTGAAGATATCTTACATGTAACGTTAACACTTATGTTTGACTGATCAATAATTGTTTTTACATTTAAATTAACTCTATAGGCAGCATATACAAGCCACAGATCTTGACCAAAGTGCTTAACAGAGAAATTAAGTTGGCTAAAATAAAACAAAAACTAAAATAGAAAGTAGCTTTAAGAATAAACTTAATTTTAATTATGACGGTAGTTAAAATAAACTGGGGTTTGTATGGTGAGCTCGTTCAAAAGAGTAACTTGGTTAGGTTAAGGACCAAATGAATAGTTAAATAATTGCCAAGGCTAATGTTACCTGGAATAAAATAGAAGATGGTGAGTTGATGCTCTCAAGGCTAGCATTGTTGTGCCAGTCAATAAATCTAATATTATTTTATAGAGTTCATATGTCTTGTCTTACACTGATGCATACAATATCATTGTAATGCTGTAACATTACAATACCATTTTTATCTACTTCTTGAACATATTAGTTGAATTCTGCGTATCTTCATTTTCAGTGTAATTACTTTCACATGTTTTTATTTTTCATCAGTTTGAAATGCCACCACGAATCAGCCCCCTTAAGGATGCCATGCATCATGTTGTTTCAAAAACTGACAAAACATTCAAATTAGATGTGAAGTATATCAGTGCAGTGAAAGGTAAGGTGGTGTGATTTTTATCATGAAATATTTACCAAGATATGCATTTCCTAACCATAATCTTATGAGCATGTAATGCAAAACTCCTGGGTATATTTAATCAGACCCCTGGTTGCAGCTTATTTTAAATCAGCTGCCAACTATTGATGACTTTTTTAGTGTATTTGGTATCCTTTATCTATAAGATTTTATTAATTTAAAATTTATTTTTTTCTGTATTTGCAGGACGTGGTCTATTTGCAAAGGCTGCCTTTTGCAAAGGTGATTTTGTTGTTGAGTACAGGGGAGATATGATAAATGAAGCAGAACTTCAGAGGAGAAGAAAACGTTACCACGCATCCTGTGCTGCATTTATGTTTGATTTCAAGTGGCGAGGGAAAACATGGTGGTAAGAAGTCAAGTTGTACCAAAGCTATATAAAAAGATAGTAAAAATACATTGATTTGTGGTGGTTTAATTGTATTACTTGTAATCATCCTTTTCTCATGGTTTCATATTTAAGTATTGACGCGTCAAGGGAAGATGGATCGTATGGGCGTATCGCTAATGATTGCCACAATCATCCAAATTGTAAGATGAAAAAAATTGACGTCAATGGAAAGCCTCACCTTTGTCTGTTTGCCCTGAATGACATTAAAGAAGGAGAAGAAATTGCCTATGATTATGGGGGAGAAGACTACCCATGGAGAACACAAGTATGTTGTTAAGCACACTGTGTACAAAATAGGTCATATTTTTGCAACATGTCAACAAATTTGTTGGTTGAATAGATTAGAATTTAAATCTATTAGAAATCTATGAATCAAATTTGTCTGTTCCAATAAATTATATCCAAATCCCCAAATCAACTCTCCTCAACAGGTGAGTTTAGGTGAATCATTGTGAATGTTGTCTCTTACAGATGACCAGCGTTGCTGTTAAAACCAGCACAGTGAATGACTCTGATCCTTCTCTCCAGTCAGTGACTCAGATGGATGAAGAATCTGCTCAAATCAACTCTCCTCAACAGGTGAGTTCACATTCATTAGTAAAGATTTAGGTTTTTTGTCATGGTTTAGTGATTTGTAAGCATATTTTGATGAGTATCTGGTGTAAACTAGTACATTAAACTGTTTTACGACATGTGCCCAGTAGATCAGTTGTAGTGCAGTATTTAGGGCCACTTTTATCCTTCACAGGATTTTTTTTCTGGGTTAATTGTTGCATTGAAATGGACACTTACGACGTCCCCACAACACACTTTTGGTCAGTATTTGAGTTCACACCCGTGTTTTGAATTTGATGAAACTGGTCCCCATAAGGAACTATAACGTTGTGTGTGTAAAGTCCCCATGAGGCTGGTTTTAATCCAGATGTGTGTGAGCGCACACAGAGTTAGACTGGACAGGAAATATGTTATAGATGTAGTTGATTTCGTTTTACATTCTCAAATCATGTGGTATCTGCTTCAGATTTCTCTCATCTTTTTCCATTTTCTAAAATCTTGTCATTGTGAATGTTGTCTCTTACAGATGACCAGAGTTGCTGTTAAAACCAGCACAGTGAATGACTCTGATCCTTCTCTCCAGTCAGTGACTCAGATGGATGAAGAATCTGCTCAAATCAACTCTCCTCAACAGGTGAGTTCACATTCATTAGTAAAGATTTAGGTTTTTTGTCATGGTTTAGTGATTTGTAAGCATATTTTGATGAGTATCTGGTGTAAACTAGTACATTAAACTGTTTTACGACATGTGCCCAGTAGATCAGTTGTAGTGCAGTATTTAGGGCCACTTTTATCCTTCACGGGATTTTTTTTCTGGGTTAATTGTTGCATTGAAATGGACACTTACGACGTCCCCACAACACACTTTTGGTCAGTATTTGAGTTCACACCCGTGTTTTGAATTTGATGAAACTGGTCCCCATAAGGAACTATAACGTTGTGTGTGTAAAGTCCCCATGAGGCTGGTTTTAATCCAGATGTGTGTGTGTGTGAGCGCGCACTAGAGTTAGACTGGACAGGAAATATGTTATAGATGTAGTTGATTTCGTTTTACATTCTCAAATCATGTGGTATCTGCTTCAGATTTCTCTTGTCTTTTTCCATTTTCTAAAATCTTGTCATTGTGAATGTTGTCTTACAGATGACCAGAGTTGCTGTTAAAACCAGCACAGTGAATGACTCTGATCCTTCTCTCCAGTCAGTGACTCAGATGGATGAAGAATCTGCTCAAATCAACTCTCCTCAACAGGTGAGTTCACATTCATTAGTAAAGATTTAGGTTTTTTGTCACGGTTTAGTGATTTGTAAGCATATTTTGATGAGTATCTGGTGTAAACTAGTACATTAAACTGTTTTACGACATGTGCCCAGTAGATCAGTTGTAGTGCAGTATTTAGGGCCACTTTTATCCTTCACTGGATTTTTTTTCTGGGTTAATTGTTGCATTGAAATGGACACTCACGACGTCCCCACAACACACTTTTGGTCAGTATTTGAGTTCACACCCGTGTTTTGAATTTGATGAAACTGGTCCCCATAAGGAACTATAACGTTGTGTGTGTAAAGTCCCCATGAGGCTGGTTTTAATCCAGATGTGTGTGTGTGTGAGCGCGCACTAGAGTTAGACTGGACAGGAAATATGTTATAGATGTAGTTGATTTCGTTTTACATTCTCAAATCATGTGGTATCTGCTTCAGATTTCTCTCATCTTTTTCCATTTTCTAAAATCTTGTCATTGTGAATGTTGTCTTACAGATGACCAGAGTTGCTGTTAAAACCAGCACAGTGAATGACTCTGATCCTTCTCTCCAGTCAGTGACTCAGATGGATGAAGAATCTGCTCAAATCAACTCTCCTCAACAGGTGAGTTCACATTCATTAGTAAAGATTTAGGTTTTTTGTCACGGTTTAGTGATTTGTAAGCATATTTTGATGAGTATCTGGTGTAAACTAGTACATTAAACTGTTTTACGACATGTGCCCAGTAGATCAGTTGTAGTGCAGTATTTAGGGCCACTTTTATCCTTCACAGGATTTTTTTTCTGGGTTAATTGTTGCATTGAAATGGACACTTACGACGTCCCCACAACACACTTTTGGTCAGTATTTGAGTTCACACCCGTGTTTTGAATTTGATGAAACTGGTCCCCATAAGGAACTATAACGTTGTGTGTGTAAAGTCCCCATGAGGCTGGTTTTAATCCAGATGTGTGTGTGTGTGAGCGCGCACTAGAGTTAGACTGGACAGGAAATATGTTATAGATGTAGTTGATTTCGTTTTACATTCTCAAATCATGTGGTATCTGCTTCAGATTTCTCTCATCTTTTTCCATTTTCTAAAATCTTGTCATTGTGAATGTTGTCTTACAGATGACCAGAGTTGCTGTTAAAACCAGCACAGTGAATGACTCTGATCCTTCTCTCCAGTCAGTGACTCAGATGGATGAAGAATCTGCTCAAATCAACTCTCCTCAACAGGTGAGTTCACATTCATTAGTAAAGATTTAGGTTTTTTGTCACGGTTTAGTGATTTGTAAGCATATTTTGATGAGTATCTGGTGTAAACTAGTACATTAAACTGTTTTACGACATGTGCCCAGTAGATCAGTTGTAGTGCAGTATTTAGGGCCACTTTTATCCTTCACGGGATTTTTTTTCTGGGTTAATTGTTGCATTGAAATGGACACTCACGACGTCCCCACAACACACTTTTGGTCAGTATTTGAGTTCACACCCGTGTTTTGAATTTGATGAAACTGGTCCCCATAAGGAACTATAACGTTGTGTGTGTAAAGTCCCCATGAGGCTGGTTTTAATCCAGATGTGTGTGAGCGCACACAGAGTTAGACTGGACAGGAAATATGTTATAGATGTAGTTGATTTCGTTTTACATTCTCAAATCATGTGGTATCTGCTTCAGATTTCTCTTGTCTTTTTCCATTTTCTAAAATCTTGTCATTGTGAATGTTGTCTCTTACAGATGACCAGCGTTGCTGTTAAAACCAGCACAGTGAATGACTCTGATCCTTCTCTCCAGTCAGTGACTCAGATGGATGAAGAATCTGCTCAAATCAACTCTCCTCAACAGGTGAGTTCACATTCATTAGTAAAGATTTAGGTTTTTTGTCACGGTTTAGTGATTTGTAAGCATATTTTGATGAGTATCTGGTGTAAACTAGTACATTAAACTGTTTTACGACATGTGCCCAGTAGATCAGTTGTAGTGCAGTATTTAGGGCCACTTTTATCCTTCACGGGATTTTTTTTCTGGGTTAATTGTTGCATTGAAATGGACACTCACGACGTCCCCACAACACACTTTTGGTCAGTATTTGAGTTCACACCCGTGTTTTGAATTTGATGAAACTGGTCCCCGTAAGGAACTATAACGTTGTGTGTGTAAAGTCCCCATGAGGCTGGTTTTAATCCAGATGTAGATCAAGATGTAATCCAGATGATCAAGCTTTGCTGGACAGGAATATATATATATATATATATATATATATATATATATATATAATTTTTGTTTTCTTGCGCTTTTTATTTTTACATGTCAAATACTAAAATGTTGTTTACACTGTTTTCTTTTCTTTTTACAGATTGTGATACAACACCGAAATGAAAATGACATTTTTGTACCAAGACTGAGACGGACTAAAAGTATTGTGGTAAGTCCTCAAGTTGCAACAAGAGACTCAATTGCTATGTTTACATGCACACGTTGGAGTTTTTCCCTCTTTTGCTCCTCTCTTTTAAATTTTAAAATCGTCGATAATTTGAAAGCGAAAGTTAAATGTAAAGGGCATTCATAATTTGAGTCCATTCTTATGGAAGCTTGCTCTGCTCGCTTTTTACATAGGATAAAGGTGTTTGCATATGAAGGCTTTTCAGTCTGATTAAAGGAGAACTCTGGCGAACAATGAACCTTTGGTCTAATAATACATCGGTACATAGTCAATCGTTCTCTGAGATTTGTTTTCATGATAATCGAATATAAAGAGTTTTATCTCTAAAAACTGTTTAGCGTATAATGCTAGTAATGGGGGCATTGAGTAAGTAAAAAGAAATCGCTAGTTTATACCACTAACAAGGCTCAAAATAGCCCCACACTAACGCAGTAACATAATGAGGCTCCATACATGCAAAACGAAGCATTGAGAACTTTGTAAGTGTACAGACCGTTTAATAAGAAGATACTTTATGAAGACAGTTCACTGTTAATGTATGCAGACAGAAGCCATCTTAGAAAATAAGTCTCGATAAGTCAAACCACGAACGTCGTGCTGAGTGATCTGAACTGTATGAAGTTCATCGAACTTCTGAACTGTATGAACGGCGTTCGTGGTTTGACTTATCGAGACTTTTTTAAGATGGCTCCTGTCTGTATACACAAAGTGAACCGTCTTCATAAAGTATCTTCTTATTAAACGGTCTGTACACTTACAAAGTTCTCAATGCTTCGTTTTGCATGTATGGAGCCTCATTATGTTACTGTGTTAGCGTGGGGCTATTTTGAGCCTTGTTAGTGGTATAAACTAGCGATTTCTTTTTACTTAGTCAATGCCCCCATTACTAGCATTATACGCTAAACAGTTTTTAGAGATAAAACTCTTTACATTCGATTATCATGAAAATAAATCTCATGATCTCAAATCTCATCAAAGAGAACGATTGACTAGGTACCAATGTTTTATTAGACCAAAGGTTCATTGTTCGCCGGAGTTCTCCTTTAAGCCGTCAGTCTGATTTCTAATGGATTATTTGGTTGCATGTAAACGTAACCATTGTCATTTGTTATTGATAAGTTATTTTGCTTAGAGCTGCCATCAACATTTTATTCTCATCAATCACTCAGTGAAATATAATTTAGGCTATGTAATTAATAAATTATGTGATAAATCATTTTGACTGCAAAATATCAGTGAATCAAAAAAATCGCATCCCCTTTATTTGAAATCAGATGTCCTTATTTGTGTCAGATCAACTGCCCAAAATGTTTTATTACACTTAAGAACTTTAGTGTAACAAGCAGTAAGAAGCTGCAAATCACATGTAACTTGTAAATTAAAAAAAAATACTTGAACAGTACTTTTTTTTAAATAGTTGCCAATTTATATCTTTTAATGATCAATTAAATGCAGCAGTTCTACCTATTTCTAATGAACTTTTTGATGTTTCTTGTTTACTTTTTTAAGATGAAAGACATTGATCTTCAAGATTCTGGTGAGCTCTTTGATTCTACACCAGAGAGTTCAGATAATTATGTTCCAGATACCACTTCCGACAGTGACTGTGACAGTGATGTTAGCCTTACACTGAACCCAACAAAACGTCAGCTTCTTGATCAACTGGATATGAATGAATCTGCCTCTGTAAGCTCCCCTGACTGTGACTCAACAACGTCAGACAATATGCACAGCGTTACGTCTAAAGCATCTGGAACAGTAGAAGAGCCCAGTTCAAGTCAGAACACAATAGACTGCGTAGTTGTTAATGCATACCATAAAAGAGATGGTGGTAGAGTGTATAACAAGAGACATTACTGCTTGTATTGCTCCAAACCTTACGCTAAGATGGCAAGGCATCTAGAAAGTTCACATGCAAATACATCTGATGTGGCTAGAGCTCTAAGCTTTCCAAAATGTTCAAAGGAGAGAAAAAAACAGTTGGATTATATTCGCAACAAAGGGAACTATGCCCACAATGCTGCGGTTATGGAATCAGGAAAGGGGGAACTGGTGCCATTTAAACGACCACCTAAAAAAGCACTGGGAGAGGATTTCATGCATTGTGCATACTGTCAAGGACTTTTTACGAGAAAGGTCCTTTGGCGACATATGCGTTCTTGCAGACTTAAACCTCAGTCAGTCCCCCCCAAACCAGGAAAAAACCGTGTTCAGTCCATGTGTACATACACGGGGCCTGTGCCTTCAAACATGACCAAACAACTGTGGGGAGTAATCAGTGCCATGAATCCTGACCCAATCACAGATATTATAAAAAATGACAAAGTAATTACTGAAATTGGGCAGCACTTGTTGAACAAAGGAGGGATATCAGCCAAAAATCAACAGTATGTGCGGGAGAAGATGCGAGAATTGGGACGGTTGATTCACAAGGCGAGGAGAGTCACCTCGTTAAAAACGATGGAAGATTGTGTAAATCCAAAGAAGTACATGGAGACTGTCAAAGCTGTGAAGTATACGTGTGGGTATGACAGTGAAACAGACAAGTTCATGATTCCATCGCTTGCAAATAAGCTTGGGAATTCCCTGGTTAAAGTGAGCAAACTCTTAAAAGCTCAGGGATTAATCTCAAATGACAAACAGCTTGTTAAGAATGCCAGTGAGTTTCTAGAAGTCCATCAGAACAAGTGGAACGAGTTGATCTCGGCTACAGCATTGAGGAACATCAGTGAAGCAAAGTGGAATGTGCCCACTATCATGCCCTTTACTGAAGACGTCCAGAAAATGCACACACATCTCAGTGAAGTGCAAGAGAAGTGGTTCAAAACACTCTCTGGAAGTCCCTCTACTAAAACCTGGATGGAGCTGGCAAAGGTGTGTCTAGCCCAGATGATTCTCTTTAACCGCCGCAGGGAAGGAGAGGTTTCGAGTATGCCTTTGTCTGCATTTCTTTCAAGAGACACTTCTCATCCACATGAGGATGTGGACTGGGCACTTTCTGAAGTGGAAAAAAAACTCTGCAGACACTTCACAAGGGTTATCACAAGAGGAAAGCGTGGTCGACCAGTTCCAATTCTTCTGACTCCAAAAATGCTATGTGCCTTAGAACTCCTTGTTAAGCAGAGAGAGGTTTGTGGGGTTCTGAAAGACAATCCCTATATGTTTGCAAGACCAGAAGCCATGACACATTTTCGAGGGTCAGACTGCCTCCGTGGCTTTGCTAAGGTGTGTGGCGCAAAGTGTCCCAAGTCACTGACATCTACAAGGCTGCGAAAGCATGCCGCAACGCTTTCAACAGTGCTGAATATGACTGACACCGAGATGGACCAGCTGGCAAACTTCCTTGGACACGACATAAGAATCCATCGTGAGTTCTATCGACTCCCTGAGAAGACCTTGCAACTTGCCAAGATCAGCAAAGTTCTAATGGCACTTGAACAAGGAAGATTAGCTGAGTTCCATGGCAAGAACTTGGATGAAATTGGGATAGATCCTGATGGTGTGGTATTTTATTTGACGTTTGTTTGATTTTTCTGTTTACCATCTATTCAAATACCATATGTTTACGATCTATTATATGCCATTAAGCTTTACTTTGAACTTCCACAGAAAAAGTTCTTAACTCTGATGAGGAAGACGAGAGCATAACAGAGGGACTCTGTTCATCTACTGTTGACGGTTTGTATTACTTTCAAAATACACTACTAGATTTTGCAGTTATTCATAGGTTTCAGTCACTTTACTTGTGAAGACCTGACATGCAAAAACAATGTTCTAACATCAAAGCCAACATTAAAGAAGATTCTTCAGTATGCTGAACAAAAGCTTTTTTCTTTTTTTATTAACGAAACTGCTCATTGTGTAATGAATCAAATGCCTCCAAGCTATTCTTCAAAATGTCTTGCACTAAACATTTATTTTGGAGTGAATATTTTTTGTGGACTTTACTACCATAAAAATTATGTTTCATAAGAGAAACGTGCACATTTTTCGTAAAATGCTAGCTGATCCGTTCTCTTCTCGTGTTTGTTGTGTTATGGCACTAAATGAACCATGTCAGATTATCAAGTAATTAACCATTTTATTTCATGTCTTAGTTTGCTTGAGCTTATGTTTGATTAAATGTCTGCTGGAAAGATGCAGTTCAATTATACTTGCAATAATGAAAAATTACACAGGTTTAAGAGTTTATTGTACTTTAATGATTTAAAATAATCAGTGCATAAGTGTGACTAAACACATTGTGTATTGTCTGTTGGAAAATTTTCCTTCGAACCAACAGACATTGGGATATCTTTCAAGCAGGATTCTTTACTGAGAACTCACTGTCCTGTTTATATACCTTTCAAGGGGGAGGGATTTACATAGAGGTGGAGACACTCTGAAACAAAGCATGTAAATGAAGTACGGAAGTCAGTTCATTACTAGAAATTCCCCATCCCTGATCTCATTAGCATAACAGTGTCATTCAGATACATGGGTGATAATCCATTCAGCCTGACTATTCAACGACTGGAACGGGCTCCTAGAGCCATTTAAAGACGGTCTCAGTAATTTGACTTGTTTAACCTACAATAGAGAAACAGGACTGGCAGGAATCTTTGGCTGGAAACTCTTGAGGAAACTCAATTGTCAGCATTTTATAGTAAATTTTAAAATGTATATCTTTCTGAAAACATTGAACTTTGATTATTTTCCATAGAACCATCTTCAGAGGTGGCACTTCCTCCTACCGAGAGGAGTGACATGCCGCCACCACCCAAGAGACGCAGACTACCAGCAGATGAAGAGATGCCTACAGAAGCCAGTGCTGTGAGGCCTTCTTCCAAAGGTGAAATCTTTACACGTTTCTAAAACTAAATTAGACAATTTAGGAGCACTTTGATACCCAGATTTCAGACCAGATCACTAAATGCTGATTTTGTTTTTTTTGCCATTTCCTGTTTTCTGCCATTTTGAGACGTTTCCGCCAAATCTTTAGTGATTTGAAAACTTGCAACTTAATTGTTCCTCTACACCAGTCCTTAGGTCTTTACACTGGCTCCCAGTTACATTTAGGATTGATTTTAAAGTATTATCACTGTTATATAAATCATTTAATGGGTTAGGACCTCAATATATTGTAGATATGCTCACTGAATATAAACCCAACAGATCACTTAGATCACTAGGATCACATCAGCTAGAAATACCAAGGGTTCACTCTAAGCATGGAGAGTCTGCTTTTAGCTATTATGCTGAACCAGCGTCCAGAAGAGATCAGGTGTGCTCCTACAGTAGTCACATTCAAATCCAGACTCAAAACACATCCGTTTAGCTGTGCATTTACTGAATGAGCACTGTGCCACTGTTCGTACGACTGTTACTGTATTTTATTTAATGTTCTTATTCTAAACTGTTTTAATTATTTACTGTATTTTATTTTTTATTCTAAATTGTTTTAATTATTCTGATTTATTTTGATTATTTTTATTTCTTCTATGCAAAGCACTTTGAGTTACCATTGTGTATGAAATGTGCTATATAAAAAAACTTGCCTTGCACATGAATTTCAATATCATAATGCTCAGGAACCCTTCTGTAGTTTAGTTGTCTTGGGCGGTGAGAAGTTGAAATCAGGTCAACTTTTATGGTAATGAGCTATGACGTGGTTCTGCGGCACCCAATTGTAATGTAGAAGTGCTCTGCTTTAGAGGATTCCAGAGAATGCAGTCAAGTAACTTTGGTTCCGTCCACATTATTTCCCAAGCACAATAGGAGAGATTGATCATTTGAATTTGATAAGAAGGCGCGCAACACTGTCTATAGGCTTGATTTTCGTGCTAGAACACTTGTTTATCAGTGGGAATGTAAAGTTGAATAGCACTTAACCATTAACACAAAAGCCACACCACATAAATGGCTTTTAATTGGTTTATTTCATTCGCAAACATGTCACTATAATAAAGTTATTTCCTTTGATCAATGTTCTGCAAAAATAACTAATTGACATGCTTGTTTGCTTTTGCGGCCCCTTTAAATGGTTTAAAAAAAGACCAAGCATTCGATTTATGTCAGAGTGTCCACGAATCTTTCCACGGCCTCGCTGGCCTGACGGCCAGAGCGATATATATTTTTTTTTTTTCCCCCGAGCTTTCTATAGTGAATTATCGTGTGTGTGAGTTGAGTATATGCTGAGTTTCGGCTCATTTCTGTTCGGCTCATTTTCTTCTCACACAGTAAAGTGTCTCCACACACGCACACAGATATGAGTCTAATGTTAATCTGATAAATGTGTTATTAGAGTGAGTGACTTGTAAAGTTATTACTACTTGCATGTTTCAAGTGATGAGCCATATTTAAGGTCATTGACTGATAGGCGAATGTTTGGATTTCATTCAGACTGCCGTTATTGATTTGTCTGTCAAAGCCTGCGTGATAACCTGCAAGCTTTTTTTTTCTTCCTGCGACTAACTAATAAAATCATAGTTGATTATTAGAGGGCAGACCTAATAAATACTGATTATAGGATTTAGAACTACAGATTGTAATTGCAGCACACACACTTTTATCATTTCAATAGTTTTTTTTCTGTCCACTTAGGTAAAAGTACCCAGAAGACACCCTGGCAGCAGACAGAGGTGCAGGCGGTGGAAAGGCACATGCAGCGATTCATCACATCGCTCACTGTACCAGCAAAGAGCGACTGTGAAAAGTGCTTGAAAGCTGAACCAGGAGCACTGAAGAACCGTGATTGGAAGAATGTAAAATTTTACATTTATAATCGTATTACAGCTTACAAAAAGAAATTCCAGTGCAAATAATAATAATGTGAACATCATGGCAGGTTTTGTTCAAAGATTTTAAAGGGTTAAAGATGTTTTAAGGTTTACTATCCCTTTAAAACTACAGAAACACTTGTAGGCTATAGAATAATTTTGTTTGCCATATGTTTTATGATGACTGTGATGGCCACCAGTCGGAAAACATTGATCAAACAACATTTCAAATAGAGTGTCATGTTTGCAGTACAGTATGTTTATGATGACCGTGATGACCACCAGTCGGAAAGCATTGGTTGGACAAAGTTAATTTAAAGTCGTAGTTTGTTTAAATTCACATGTATGTGAAAGGAAGCATGTGTGAAAGTTATTTTTTTTTATATACTTTTAATATCAGGACCTTGTTTTTAGGTATGACTTCATTTTGAGTTTTGTGAAGCTGAGTTCAATAAAAGTTGAATTCCGCAATCGTAATGTGAATTAATGTATTGAAGCTCAATTAGTAGTATGTGTCTCAAATAAGTGTCAGGTGAATGAGAAGCAGCTGATGCTTGGAGGAGGTTGACTGAAAAATTACAATAATAGAAAGGATAATTTGTGGGTATGAAATGGGTCACTAGCACCATATGCGGGCCTTACTATATCTCCACATTAAGTAATCAAAGTTGTTCTACTGCATATTTTAATTCTCCTTGCTTGTAGATTAAACCCATTTTTAAGGGCAAATGGATAAATGAAATCTGAAGATTTACTAGTGTAAATGCCTATTATTTTTCTATCTAGGTCCCCACAAATCAACTGGGAGGTTGTGTGAATTATGCAAATTGGGTCCCCACAAATCGAAAGGGAGGTGTGAATTATGCAAAGTGGGTCCCTATGAGACATGTCCACTCGATTTTTCAAATGTCCCCATTGTGCATGATCAAATCATTACTTCATCAATTCAGATATTTAAAGGCGTGTATAAGTTGTCAAAGTTATGGTAAGTATCCCTAATTTTTTTTATACTTCTAAACCCTTTAGAAAGGGTGGTCCCCACAGGTGATGGTCATAAAGTTGGTCCCCATCCAACATGGAAACCAGTATGTGTGTGTGTGTGTGTGTGTGTGTGTGTGTGTGTGTGTGTGTGTGTGTGTGTGTGTTGGAATGCTGAGGTTGAAGTCTGTGCTCATGTTTCCCTCTGGTTTTGAAAATCAGGGAGCCCTGAGCCCATTAGGAGACAGACTCAGAGCTAAGCCAGGGCCTCCAGACCTTGCCAACCACTCTTCTCCCTCTCTCTCTTCCTCTCTTTTGTCTTCCTACTGAGGCACTCACTTCAAAATAACCTCTTATTTATGCTCTCTCTCACTCATCCTTTACTTCTTCGCAGGCACTCTATCATTTTCATTTCTGTGTCACATTGTTGGCTTCTCTCGTCCCTCTCGTCTCTTTCCCCCTACTGTCCTCCCCCTTTACTCTTTCTTTTTTATTTCCACATCTCAGCTGTAACCACCGCAACTTGCCTCTAAATCCATTTAAAAAAACATTCCTTAATGAATTTTATCTGCGCAGGTTCTGTTTATCAAAATACACTTCCCGTAAGGTTATTTCCTGTGATGCAATGTAATAGGCATCACGGCTTGGTGCCATGTCTAGTTTGTGTGCACCCCTAGTAAATGAGTCAGACAAATGTTTATAGTTGTACTCACATTCTGTACTGAGATTTAAAGAGGTTGTTCGTCCAAAAAATGACTATTCTGTCACCATTTACTCACCCTCATGTCTATTCAACTTGTCGACTTTCTTTCTCAACACAGAGGTATTATAAAAATGTGACTGTTTTCTTTTCTTTCTTTTTTTTTCAAAATTGTTAATTTGGACCCCATGAGTTTTCATTGTATTAAAAAAACAGTTTTGGAATGACATTGAAGGTAAGTAAAATGATGACAGAATTGTCATGTTTGGATAAACTATCCCTATATTAAAGGGATTTTTCACTTTGAAATTAATTTTTGATATATTTCAGCTTACCTCAAGGGCATCCAAGATGTAGGTGTCTTTGTTTCCACAGTAGTTTCAATTTTGATATTTTTCGGTCAAACCGTTGTTGTCTGTCAGTCATAATGGAGGTTTAGGGGTGCTCAAAGAGCATGCACAGAGAAGTCAAAATTAAACATGATTGAATGACTCGTAAATGTAAGTACACATTGATGGCCTAAGACACGAAACGAGCGGTTTGTGTGAGAAAACGAACAGTATTTATGTCGTTTTTACCTCGTGCTACCACAGCGATAACGCTTCGGTCTGCACTTGCGCCGGAAGTGATCGCTTGCGCACCTACGTCAGTCTTTGTTTATACAGAGATTTCGGAAGTTTTACCTTTCACTAAACATATTTAGATATACGGGAAGACGATTTCGGTATATCTAAATATGTTTAGTAAAAGGTAAAACTTCCAAAATCTCTGTGTAAATATTGAGTGACGTCACACGCAAGCGATCACTTCTGGCGGAACTTTGAACATGATTCAGTTCGGTTCAGTTGGACAACTGATTCAGATCACTTGGACGTCACTGTGATTACAAGTGGTAAAAACGATATAAATACTGTTCGTTTTCTCACAAAAACCGCTCGTTTCGTGTCTTAGGCCATCAATGTGTACTTACATTTACGAGTCATTAAATCGTGTTTAATTTTGACTTCTCTGTGCTTGCTTTTTGGTGGACCCCCATACCTGCATTATATGACTGACAGACAAGAATGGTTGGACCGAAAAATGTCAAAATTGAAAATACTGTGGAAACAAAGACACCTACATCTTGGATCCCCTTGAGGTAAGCTAAAACATATCAAAAATTAATTTCAAAGTGAACCATCCCTTTAAAGTGCTAAGTTCACACAAAAATTAAAATTCTGTCATCATTCACTCACCTTCATGTCATTCAAACCCATAAGACCTTTGAAACACATATCACATATAACACCCGCTTCGGTCAGATGAAGTTCTTCCATTAAAAGTCTATTCCACCAAAACGTGTAAAAGTAATGCACATCAATGGATTGGTTTTATTCACATGTCAGCACATCAAATATGGTAAACGGTAGATCAATGTGCTTGCTTGCTGCATAAGAACTAATGAGGCTTGGTATTGTGTGTTAAGCAAGCATGTGAGCTTCCGTTAAGCATTTTTATACGCTGTATGTTGTGCATCCTAAAATCTGTTTATCATACCAAGTGATCAAGTCTCTGCAGAAGAACTGCTTGATTCATTTGGATTCATTTTACAATGCCTTCATGAACTTTTTGAAGCTTCAACATTTTGTTGGAATGGGCTTTCAATGGAGGGACAGAAATCACACAGGTTTATTTAAAAATGTCTTCAGTTCTTTTTCAAAAGTCTTATGGGTTAGAACAAAATGAGGAATAAATGACCACAGACTTTCATTTTTTGGATAAACCATTCCTCAGGCTGCTGATGTCACCAATTACACCACATGTAAACTTACAAACCGGGCGTGAAATTGATTCTTTGTCTTGTTTAACATGGACTGATCTATATGAAAGACCCTTGAAATGTGAACATGGTTGTAAAACAAACTATTTTTCCTCTGAATCATGACATGTTGCGCTCTCTCTCTCTCTCCTTTCCTTTTGCTCTCTTTTTCCACAGGCCAGTCAGCAGCTCCCCCTCCTTATTGACTTCACTCCACTACATGTCTCATCGTCCGAGCATTCCCTCCACCACGCCGAAAAGCTGTCTCTCATTTTCCCACTGCGCTCTGGTCTGCACTGGGGGCTTTTAAAGGGGGCCGGGGGTGCGGACCCCAAACGACGTGGCAGAGTGTGTGCGTCTATACGCCGACCAGCAAAACCACACCACCCTATGAGGACAGTCAAATGAATACGATGGGATTCGTTCACATTTCCCATAAATGATTCTGTCCACTACGGTCTCTGGAATGAATTACCAGGGCCTGCCAGTAATTCATCAACGGCTACATCAGTTTAGAGAGGAATTTCACTGATACCAACCATGCAATTTCAATAACCATCGGAGAGGTTACGGGGGGATAAACTAACAGACAGACATGGAAGGAATGGGAAGAAAGGCAGTTCACACAGGATAAAGTGAAACGAATATGATGGTGATTGTGTTTTATTGGATATCTGTGTGTATCTCTCTATAACTACAAAATATAACTAACTTCAGCATTTAATCATTTTTTTGCAACTAGCCTTTGTCAAGGTTCCTTGAAACATTGAGAAAAAAAAGAAAATGCTGAAATGAGTGTGCAGTTATATTTTGCCTTTATAAAGCTTTCTTCTCTAACTTGCACCTCTAAAAGGTGTGTGTTCCGATGTATTGTTAAAGGACACATTGAGCACAGCAGGAAAATGGAGGCTCTGGGAATACTGGCAAGAGGAAGTACTTCCCTCAAACACACATTACATTTACTCTCTCGCGCACACACATACACACATTCCAACGCTCGCACATACACACACTCCCTGGCCCCCTGCAGACTGTGTGGGGGTGGTCAGTCGGGCTGATTTTTGGCAGCGAGAGTCTGAAGGAGTCCTACAGCACTGAAAAATACATTATCTAGGGTTTTTAAAAAAAGCATCAGACTTTGAGAAAAACATTGGAAGGCAAAACCACAATGAAACCGTGAAGTGACAATAAAGACTGAAAGGAACATTATGTCCAAGGTTATGCTTCTCAGTTTTAAGGTAAACTAAGGAACGGTCTGAATCGAAGCAATTGATTTCTGTTCTGAAAGAGTCGTTCATTGGTTTAGTGACCGTTATTCACATGAGCTGTTATTAAACTGAATCCATAGTTTGCCCAGTGATATCAATTACTAATGCTGCACAATGTGTCCATGCTGTTTGTATTATGAGAGTGCTGCTGGTAAAATATAAAGTGTCAACCGAGGGTAATTAAGCTTCTGAAACCAACACAAACACCTCCTAAATGACAATAGCAACCCTTTGTACGTTGGGGACACTGAGCGAAATTTCACCGAATCACAACATATCCTATTTAGAGCGCCATTTCTTCATCGGTCTCTGATATAACTCGCTCACAAAAGATAAAATGGTTTAATGATTGTCATTCTTTAATCAGAGTTGTTATTGTTAACTTTAACTAAAACAGAAGTGAAAAAAAAA